TGTGTGTTTGTGTCTGTGTGTCTGTGTGTGTGTAGGTAATCTGAATGATAAAAATAATACTGATTTTTCCACTGGCATCCCTGCAACATCTCTTTATGGCTATCACAAGCTAGATAGGGATTTGTAAGAGGCTATCACAAAGAAACAAAAGGTTTGCCCTGTCCCTTGCATCATCTTTGCTACTAATTTAACGTATGGCTATTTAATCCACTATCAAGGAGCTCCAGGCAGCCTAGTTGGCTATTTGGTTCTTACACACATTCTGCTAGGTGTAAGAACCAGCTACTCCACTGGGTAATTTGCATTCATCTTGAATGGTGGATTCTTGGGAACTGAATTTGGGATCAGCCATAAAAGACTAGATTTCTGAACCTCTCAGCACACTGGGTTACATCTGCATCAAGATATCCTGATGGGGATGAGCCAGTGGAAATGGAACAAGGTTTGGCACGATACCGTGGTGAGAAGGGAATGACATGTTTTTATGTCATTGTTTATTGACTCTGTGGTGAGTCACCTAGGATTAGTGTATAAGATAGGCTGCTATAGATGACTTATAAATAAAAAATCAAACTCACTTCCATTTAATCCTCTAAGACTATAGAATATAGCATGACTAGAATATTAAGAATTTAGGCACATTGTACAATTATCATTGTAACTAAAATAGCTTATTGAATTACAACTGAGAAGATAGAGCAATAGATGGCCTATATAGCTAGATTTAATATTAAACAAATGAGCCAGTGAACGTTTTATACATAACCCTAACCCTATTGCTCCCATATTCATTATCTTCTAACTCTGCCTGATTTTACTGTATTTTTGGTCCTATATTTCATATCTTCTGGTTATGGGGAAAAAATTATGGAAAAATATATGCAATAATATCCCATTTTGCAGGAGGAGCAAAAAACAAACAGCCTTTCATCACATTCTGTGACAGCCAGTGTGCGATGCTGGTTAAAGTGCTGGAAATCTGACTTCTAAAATATTAGAAACTCGGTGGCAGACTTTAGGCTTTTAACCTTCTCTAAGCCCAACAGGCCTCCCTCACAGGGTTGTTGTGGCAGGAAACAAGGGAGACAAGCTACCTTCAACTCCTGACAGAAAACCCAGGCAATGCAGTGCACGGAAGAGACAAACCAAGAAGAGACAGGCTTAAAAGTCCCATTTCTCAACCTCAGCCCAGATGTCCAGAAGGCTTTATTTAGTTAGGGACTAAATGCATGTATTTAGCAATAATTTGCATTATTGCAAAGACTTCCATCAAGATGGAAGGGGCAATTCTGGGAGCTGCAATCTACCTGTCTAGGAAAGGCAGAAGTTGAGAAGGGGTCCTTCAGAGGAAGGGGCTCTGCAACAGTTCAGGGGACCTTCCAGTTGCTGCCCCACACCACAACCAAGAGGTGATACCCCATTTTTGTGAGGAAAAATATAGATAGGAAATGAGAATGAACACCATCACGCTGCTAAACAAATTCCCTCAACCCTGTCAAACTATTTACAAAGTCTGCATTACTATTATTATTAATCCTCCCATCCATCCTTTCACCCATCTCCTCCCACTTGTGATTGTATGACTGTAACCTTATTGCTTGTATCCTAACGATTTATATTCAGTTTCCTAGTATGATTTGTTTATTGTACCCTATGACTATTATTAAGTGTTGCACCTGATGATTCTTGGCGAATGTATTTCATTTTTTCTTTATATACACTGAGAGCTTCTGCCCCAAAGACAAATTCCCTGCATGTCCAATCAACAAGGCCAATAAAGAATTCTATTCCTCTCTGAATTCTTTTACAATTTGGAACAATTGGCATAAATGGCTAAAAAAAACAGAACCAAGAAGGGAGACAAAAATGTTAATTGAAACAACCCTTAAGAAAGTAGAAATAAAATTCTGTAAACTATATAAAGATATAAGAATAGTAATTATAGCTACAGATATTATTTAATAGTAGATAAACGCAATATAACGTATTAGGATATTTAAATCAAAATCATGTCTAGAGGCCAAGAACGTTGTTGATAACCGTGATGTTTTACAATGAAAAAATAAAAATAAAATTAATAAAAATTATTTAATAAAAGAATTCCATTCGTAGAGATGGAGAATAAAAATGATAAATTGATAGCTATTATAGACAGATATAAGTGGAGATAGATGATTGATAGAGAAAGAGAAACAGATGATAGAGAAATAGAGAGAGATGGATCAACTTTATTGTCACTTTGAATGGACACTCATCGGCGGGCATTAAAAGGAGATCCCGCTGCCTTCAGCTCTCAAAGGGTCACCTTCCCCCGCCCTATAGACACGACATAAACGTGGCAAAACAAACCCAAATCCCGCAGATGTTATACGACCCAGAGAAACAACACAGGGGAAACAGACCAAGCGCCCCACCACCACCCCGCCGCCCATAGAAGCAGCAACGGCAACCACCGGGAGGGTCCGCTCCCCGCCGGGCCCGGGCTCCGCTCACCGCACGTAGGGGCTGGCGGCGGCCAGGATGTTGGTCTGCACCGGGATCTCCTGCCCGTCCAGAACCAGGTTGGCGTCGCAGAAGCGGCCCTCCTGCCGGAAGGAGCTCAACGCCCGCAGCAGCCGCGCCGCGTGCTGCGGGTCGGAGACGGAGCTGCCCGGCGCCCCGCTCGACATGGCGGCCTCGCCGCTGCTCCAACGACCCCGCCGCGACTCGACTCCACTCGACTCGACCTCACCGCCGGCCGGGAACTACCATCCTCCTGCCGCGCCGCGCCGGCGCCGCCTGACCTCATCTCTGCGCGACGGTCACGCCCACCCGGGGGGGCGGCGCCGCGAGGGTGACACCGCCCCCGCGAGGGGAGGGGGCGCGCCCCGCCCCTCGCGGGGGCGGAGCTCCCGCCGCGCCTAGCACGTGCTGAGCGGCTGCGGGGGGGGGGGGGGGGGAGGGAGAAGCCGCTTTCCCTGACTACAATGCCCGTAGTTCCCAGCCGGGAGGCGGGAGGCTGGCGTGACTTTTCCGCCATTCAGCGTTGTTTATAATGACTGGAAGGGCCTGGCTTTCTGGACATGCTCAGAAGGAAGGCAGGGGCTGCCGCGTTGAGTTTCCAGCCCAGCCTTCCAAATGGGGACTACAGTTCCCAAGCTTCCCAGCCAAAAAATAGGGTCTCTGGTTTTAGGGCTTTACTTCCTCTGGAGGACACCCAATTAAGGAAGATTTGACAATGTGCAAAGGAGCAGTGGTGTTCTGTGCGCAGAGACAGGTGTGATAAATCGCACCAAATGTGGATTTTTCAGGCTAAAAAAATGCCCAGAGTTGGAGTTTTTGAGAAGGTTATTCTTCTCAAGGGGGATGTTGCAAAGATCCTGATTTTGTCAGCTGGAGATCGGACAGCCTGGGTTTTAAGATCCCGCGGTCATTCCTGCTCACCTAGCAAGTTCGAAAGTTTACTTTATTGGCATTGCACCTCCTACAATGAAATTAAATGCCATCTTCAGTCTACATTAAAACTATAACAATAAAAACACAAGCACATCCATAGCATTCTTTATAATTGAATTGGAAACCCCTGATATTGCATTGATATTGCACTATATGGTAGAATTCAACAGCTACTGCTCTGGGACAGAAGCTGTTTTTCAGCCTATTTGTCCTTGCTTTTATTGTCCTGTACCGTCTGCCACATGGTAATAGTTCAAAAAAGAGTGCAAACAACAACAACAAAAAAGGCTGACCCACCCCAAAAAAGCAAGCAAGCAAAACGTGAGCAGATAAATAGGTAGCACTTCAAAGGGTAGGTAACAGCATTCTGTGTGCCTTTGGGGAATAACCGTGATGGCTACATTGGCAATGGACATTGTCTTTGGACAATGTTGACTCCCTTGGCTAAGAAATGGAGATGAGCACAGTGCCCTATGATGGGGACACCTTTAACTTTTTATTCTTCAGGAGTTCTGCCCATGAAGATGGGCATTTCACCGCCACTTAACTTACAGCAAGGACTTTTGGGAAGACTCTTTTGACCACAGGCCGAGAAGAAAATAATACGTCACAACACTAAGCCCAAATTAAACAGTTGAAGAGTTTTCAGGAGTTGTTCCTCATTCGGATTTATTCTAATATTTAGAACATTTAATCCAAGGACAGCCTTGGACAGCATCGATGTTTGCAAATGTCTCCACAAAAATCAGAATGAGCACCATTACACCATGCACTCCACAAAATGTCCAGAAATCTGTTATCGCTAAGTGTCACAAAAGTCTTTGGTAGCATAGTTGCATCAGACTATTGCAACAGACAATAATCAGCCTATAAGATACTAAAGTTTCCAGATTTGTATTCTTGAGAAGCATCCAATATCCAGAATTGGGCAATGCTTTTATTGGGGTCAGATTAGTTGGGTTTGGAAAGTTCCAGATCTTTTCAGGAGTCATGTTTGGTATGTTCAGTCACCTACTTGATGAAACATCAAAAGCTGAATGACATCTGGCTGAGTCAACGCCAGTCTGTTTAAGCCAATCTGTTCTCTTCCTGATAGCAGAAACTTCCAATCTTTTATTGCTTTTCCCCTTCTCTTATTTGATGAAAATAGAGAGAGGTCCTAAACAAGTTTGTTGCTCCTAAGAAAAGTATTGGCTACTCATGGACTTTTTTTGTTTTATGGAATAAACTTGGCTACAATTTCTGGTAATTTGCAGCAAAGCTTTTGTTATATTCATTCATTAAATTTGTATAACATCCATCTCACTATCAAGTTCCTGGGTGGTTTACGGTGCTATGGTAACATATTAAAACAATTAAAAGATTAAAAACACCAAAGCATTGGGACCTTAAAGTTAAAACATTAATATTCAGGCAGATAAAAAGAACCAATCATAGATGGGGATCTACTAATTAGCCCTCTAAAACAGGATTCCACCAAGCCGGTTAGGGTTATTTGTATGCCATTCTTTCAACTTTCTATTTTATTCTCTCTAATTTTAGTTTGATAAGGCTCTTTATTTTTGGAAGAGCCGAGAGTGGTTTAGAAGTGAACGGACAGAATGTCCTTAAATAAAATTGTCAACAATAAATCAATTATTCTAAAATAAATGCAAAAGAAGACTGGCTATTTAAAAGAAAAAAGAAAAAAACAACAGTGTGATATAAAAGAGAAAATCATCCTTGAGTTTGGTGCTTATATGGATGGTGTGATTTTCTTAGCAGTCTTCTCTCGTGTCATAAATGCAGGAACTAGAAAGGGGGAAAGTATTGATTTAAATTTAAAAAAAATTAAAAAACTTTAATAAAAACATAAATTTATATAGTTCTATCCCAAAGCTGGGTCACACTGATGAAAGGGATATTTCTGATCTGCAAGTCATTGTGTGTGTGTATTTGTCCCAGGGGACATTGTAAAAGATGGATAGTTGTTGGAATAGTGCCATATTTGCAATAAATATCTTTGTCATTTGGAAGGAGCCCCCATTTTCCCATGTGGTCTTTAGTTCTAGCCAAACAAGCACACAATCAATTCTTGGCAACAATATGATGATAGTTGGCCAGGATTCTCTTCTCCAGAAGTTTTTTTGACTCCAACTTCTAATTTACGCCCTGGATTTGCCAATGGCCTCTCATAAGGTGCACACATGTTTACTTTCCAAGCCCAAACAAAGCTGACATCATAAATGTATTTATTTTATTAAACATGTAAGGCTTTCCAACTCTAGATTGACTTCAGGTGTCATACAATAAAACCATTACCAAAACACAGAAGCTATCTGGAAAAAAAACATTGCATAAAATCCACTATTGAATTTCAACTAGTCTTTTTCAAACGTGGCAACTTAAAGATGTGTAGATTTTAATTCCCAGAATTCTCCAGCCAACTGTGTTTGAAAGTGTTTGAAACAGTGTTTGAAAATAAAACATTAATTTAAACTAAAGCCGGAGAGATAAGCCTAATTTTCAGAATATAGCCCATTTCTGGACTGCTAAATCTTGAACAATTTTGAGAGATTGCAGAGTTGCCTTTCTTTTTCTAGATTTATTTTTTCAATCCTACTTTTCCTTGTCTTTTCCCCCTCATGCTTTTATGGCTTTGGCTTAGATTTTTATTTTATTTTATCTATATTATCTTAATATAGATCATGGTAAACCTTCTACATAAATTTGTGACCAGTTATCAAGCTTTTACAAAACAAGAATTAATTTTAAGAATGGCTTCTTTGGAAAACCTCGGCCACCCGGAGCCTTGTAGAAAATAATATTAGGACAAAAACAATTTTGGAGGTGACAAAGTGGCTTGTGATATTTGTGAAGCTAAAACTACAAGGTCTGTTGATCAACACTATTTGAAAACACAGGCGTCTATAGTGAACAGGGGAAAGTGTATCGTAGGCATGGAATAATTGCAGAGGACATAAATTATGCAAAGGTTGTCAACCATCACACAATTTGCATGATGATATCATGGCACATGTGACTTTATCTTGGCTTCTCTGCCCAGAAGCAAGACTCTGTAGCCTTTCTTCTCTGTGTTATTAGTGTCTATTTGAGGTACGTTCTAGTGAATCTCGAATTACAAAGGAATGTCTGATTCAATGCTTGGCTTAGAAATTGTTTTCAGCATCAAAGGGGGAATTCACAATTGATCTAATACCACCTCCACATCCTCCTCCAGGTGTCCAGTTGTGGCTTCATCAGATAGGCTGACAACTTCTCCCACATCCCACTGCTATAATAAACTGCTGAGTCAGACGAGGCTCACTTGTATTATGCCAGAATGGGTGAAGCTTAGCACACTGGGTGAATTCAGCTATGATTTACCACTTACAGTTTCCTACCGTAACTTACCAACAATAGCAATAGCACTTAGACTTATATATCACTTTACAGTGCTTTACAGCCCTCTCTAGGCGGCCTCTTGCCCCCAACAATTTTCCTTATTTTACCCACCTCGGAAGGATGGAAAGGCTGAATCAACCTTGAGCCTGGAGGGATTTGAACTGCCAAATTGCAGGCAGCCGGTAGTCAGCAGAAGTGGCCTGCAATACAGCACTGTAAACACTGCGCCACTGAATGGTTCAACCACAAGAAGCCCAACTTCATGGCTTGGTGCAAGGTGAGAACCATTCCTAGTCCTTCTGCCAAATTCTTAGCCTGAGATTTTTTTTCCCCCAATAGTTCCATTTGTGACCAAGAATAGAATAGATTAATTCTTTATAATGGTCCGATATTAAAGCAGTGTTTGTTTTTCCCCAACCTTAGTCATTTTAAGATGTCTGGACTTCAAATCCCAGAATATCCCAGACAGCGTCGTTGGCTGAAGTATTCTGGGAGTTAAAGTCGACCCATTTTAAAATGGTAAACATTGGGAAACATTGCTCTAGATTTTGTGGTATTTTGGAAGAAAAGAACCAGATGATGCAACCTAGGACTAGCAATAAGCAAACACCAGGGTGGAGCATTATCGTGGGCACCATCTTTATTTTTTGACACACCTTTATTCAAGAAAATGGGAATAGTCCAAGAATTTAGAGAGAATTCCTGGGGAGGGGCATTCTGCCTTTCCACCTGTTCTCTCCCTCGCCACCTTCATCAGCAATGGTTACAGATTCATCCTCTTCTCTGTCTAATGGTAAGGCCAGCCTGGAAAATAACAAGTTGGGAAGAAAGGAAAGAGAAATAAAATTTGGTAATCCATTCTGCGCCCCTGCTTCAGGCACAAGCGTTACATGTTGATTTGACTTAAAGCTATACT